GATCAACAAATACCAAGAAGTTTTTGAAGAACCTGACTCCTTACTACCGAGAAGAGAGCAAGATCATCCCATTCCTCTAAACCCAGGACACCTCTAATAAACATCAAGCCTTATAGATACCCTTATTTTTAAAAGATGTGAATTGAACAACAAATTGCCAAGATGTTGCACAGCTCATTATTCAACCTAGCCATATTCTGTTTGCCTCTCAAGTGCTCCTAGTTTAGAAGAAATACAGTTCATGGAGATTCTATGCAGATTACTGACAGCTCGATTCAATTATGGTAAAAAAACAAAAAACAAACAAATTTCCAATATTTGTGAATGATTATCTTCTGGACGAGTTGCATGGAGTTGTGATATTTCCAAGGTGGACTTAAGATCAGGCTATCACCAGATTAAGATGATGCCAGAAGACGCATATAAGACAGGCTTTCGAGCGCACAAAATCATGATCTTTGGTTTGACTTATGCACCGGCCACATTTCAGCCCTTGATAAATTAAAATTTCTAGTGCTTTATGAGAACGTTCGTGTTAGTACTTTTTGATGACATTTTGATTTGTAGCAGGACAATGGAGCAATATCTTGAGCACCTAGAAAAAGGTGTTTGAAACACTGAAGCAACACAAGTTGTTTGCATGCAAGTCCAAGTGATGTTTCGGAAGAAGACAAGTTGAATACTTGAAGATATCATCACAAGAGATGGCATCAAGACAAATTCCTCAAAGATTGAGGTCACGGTCACCTAGCCAAACCAACCAATGGTAAAGAGTGGAGGGGCTTCCTCAGCTTGACAGGATACTACAGAAAATTCGTGAAGGGATATATGGCACCATCAGCCAACCCTTGACAGAATTACTCAAAGACACCTTACAATGAAATGACCGGGCAGAGAAGGCCTTCCCAAAGCTCAAAAAAACAATGACTAGTGCCCCTGTTCTTGCCTTGTCCAATTTTGCAGAAACCTTTGTGATAGAAGCCAACGCCTGTAACATGGGAATAGGAGCAGTGCTCACACAAACTGGAAGATTGATAGCATCCCTAAGTAAATCCTTAAGCCAAAAGAATCAAGCTCTCTCAGTCTACAAAAAGGAGTTGCTCACAATTCTCATAGCGGCAACAAAGTGGAGGCAGTATTTTGAAGGAACCAAATTTATCATTAGAACATACCAGCAAAGCATTAAACACCTCATAGAGTAACAGGTCAAGATTTTATGCAGGTTAACGGTATTGTGAAATTAATAGGGCTCCGTTACAAGCTTGTTTGTAAAAGGGGAGCAGAAAACAGATCCTATCCAGGAGGGAGACGCATAAAGAAGGTGAATCGTGTATGACAACATCAACAATTATTCCCAATTAGATGCAGGAGATTCAACAATCATACCAAGGAGATGAAGTGGCTCAAAGCCTCCTACATCACTTGATGTTGACTCCTTTTTCCAAAAACCATATACCTATCAGAAAGAATGTTGGCGTATTAAAGGTTCCCATTTGTAGGAGAAAAGACACAGTTAAGGAAGCAATTGCTACAACACCACCATGATTCACCAATCGGAGGACATTCTGGAGTAAAGGAAACATATAGCAAGTTGAAGCAGGCTTCTACTGGCCTAAAATGAAGCAACAAGTGGAAGATTGGATACGAAAGTGTGAAGTTTGCCAAAGGTGCAAGGCAGAAAACGTGGCTTATCCGGAATTGCTACAACCTCTTAACACTTCTAACAGACCTTGACTGATGTAATAATGAATCCATACGGCATTTGCCAAAATCACAGGGTAAGGACCCCATCCTGGTCGCAGCTGATCAATTTACCAAGTATAGCCATTTCTTGGCCCCGTCGCATCCTTTTATTGCTCAATCGATCGCCAAAATTTTCTTGGATCAAGTTCACAAACTCCACTGAATGCCTAGGTCCATTATCACCGACAAAGATGAAGTGGTTTACCAATCAATTTTGGCAAGAATTGATGAAGACCATGGGAAACAAGCCCCACTATAACTCAACCTTATCACCCACTATCTGATGGGCAAACTGGGAGATTTAATCAATGTATTGAAAACTATTTAAGAGGCATGACTTTCAAGAAGCCTAAGGCATGGTCAAAATGGTTGGGGTTAACAGAGTGGTGGTATAACAACTCTTACCGATCTAGACTAAAGATGCCACCTTTCACGGCCTTATACAGGTGCAATCCTCCATTAATCATTGAAAGAAAAGGCAGGGAAAAAGAGTGGCTAAACTAGAAGAATCGTTGGAAGAAAGATAGGCAATGAACCAAATGCTCAAGGAACAGTTAATAGACTCACAAAAACACATGAAATTTTTCGCTGACAGCAAAGAACTGATAGGCAATTCCCTGAAGGGGCTCTGATGCTATTGAAACTGCAGCACTATCACCAATCCAGTGTAGCAGTTAGATGTCTAAAACCATTTCGCGTTATCAAAAAGACCGAATTAGTAGCCTACAGATTCAAGTTGCCGCAGGAAGCCATAATTCATGATGTATTCCATGTGTCACAACTGAAGAGATATGAAGAGACACCCACCCAAAGAACAGCTCACAGCCAATTAAGGATTCAGAAGAACAAGTAAAAATAGAGCCAGAAGAGATATTGCAAAGAAGACCCATCACCCATGAAAAATTGAAACTTTCTCAAGGGGCAATTCCCTCACATTGACCTCACGAGCAAGGTTCATCTCTAAGGAGCGAGAAATGTCAGGAATAAAGCAGGTAAGGAATGAATTATGGTATTTTGAATCTAATTTACCATTAGTTAGTTACTCGAAATATTCTGGGAACATTCATGCCAACCCATGATGACAGCTATTGGTACACTGCTGTCCTTTGCACCAATCATTCTGTCATTTGTACCAATAATTGGTACAATATATGCATGGTGAATACCAGAAACTAGTAATGAAAATATCTAGAATTCAGTCCTCTAAATTCTCCCTTCCCTTTTCTCTCTTTCCCTCTATCTCTCTCCCCCCCCCCCTCTCTCTCTCTCTCCTTGTCCCTCGCTTTTCTCTATTTCCAACCTTACTTTTAGCCCACGACTAAACCCTAATGAGCCAAGAGCCTTACAATTGCATATATGAGTTATTGACCTTTTTGCGTTAATAGATCTACTTATTTTGCAAAGAACTAGAAAGCCTAAAACTTCAATTATTTGCCTACGGGCAGCAGGTTTCATGTCTGGTAATAATTCATTTCTCAAGAAAAAAAAAAAGATAAAAGATGCACAAATAATAAATGCATATGATTATTCAAAATTTCAAATTTGTTCAAATATTACCTTCATGCGGCGCTCTCTTAAAGCAAGCAAACCTGCCTCTGTACAGATGGCTTTAATATCAGCCCCAGAAAACTCATCTTTGGTCATTACAAACTCTTCGAGGTTGACATCATCTGCTAGTGTCATCCTTGACGTATGTATCTGCATCAGAGGAAGAAGCAATTAAAATCTCAACATTAAGGCATAGAACAGCTATTGTACATTCCCCACACAATGCCTTTGGGATAGCACCATATGGAGCTCCAGCTTGGGGCACACAGAACCTGCATTTACCAAAGAGTTTAATCACATCTTGCATAAAGTACCTGAAAAATGCGCCTCCTAGTTTTGATATCTGGAAGAGGAAACTCAATCTTTCTGTCTATTCGTCCAGGACGCAACAATGCAGGATCAAGGCTTTCAATTCTGTTTGTCGCAAGAATTACTTTGACATCTCCTCTTGAGTCAAAGCCATCTAACTGGTTCAGCAATTCCAACATTGTTCTTTGAATCTCCCGTTCACCACCAGAATGTGCATCATATCTAGTTAAATAAAAAAGAATTTAAGAATTACTTGTCACCAGCAACAATATGGCAGTGCTTGATGTTATCATTTATTTCAGTACTGCACCTCTTTGTTCCAACTGCATCTATTTCATCTATGAATACAATTGATGGGGACAGATCATCAGCAACTCTAAAGAGCTCCCTAACTAATTTTGGCCCATCTCCCAAGTATTTCTGAATCAATTCACTTCCAACTACACGCAAGAAAGTTGCTGACGTCGAATTTGCCACGGCCTGTAATAAAAAGACATGGAAATTAATATAATGTTGACAAAAGTTTCCATCAATTAATTAAGTAACATCTGCAATGAATTAGCACAAGTCCCGCGCACTAACTTCTGAAAAGTATGGTAGCATATGCAATATTCATCTTTAGCTACCAAGAAACCTTTTTCTTAGAGACAAACAAGAAACTTGTATATACAAAAATAATCAACATATGGACCATATAACATACAGCCAGAACAGATAAAGACTGGAAAGAAGGAGATAGTGTCGCACCTTTGCTAGCAATGTTTTTCCTGTTCCAGGCTCTCCATAAAGTATGACTCCTTTAGGTGGTTTAATACCAATATCTTCATATAATTCAGGGTGGGTGAGAGGAAGCTCCACAGCTTCCTTAATTTCTTGTATCTGGGCATCCAACCCACCTATGTCAGCATATGATTCCAAAGGAGCCTTCTCAACCTTCATTACAGACACCATTGGATCTACCTCATCTTGAAGAAGCCCAACAACTGAAAGGACCTGAACACAGCATAACCAACAAAATACATGTCAGAGGCCCCATTACAAAATGAGTATCCAAAATATAACCCCGGGAACTATCAACCTACACAATGATAATGGTTGATATGCAAACAAAACGAGCACAAAAAAAGGAAAAATAGAAGTAAAAGGAAAAGTAAAAATAATATATTGCTATCATCCTTTGACCCAAATATCACCTCTACCAGATAAAAGGACCAAAAATTTCCTCTACCAGATATAGCTGCACTGCTGCAACTACAAGCTTAGGAGAAATAAAGTTCTCTGATCTCTTGTATCTCTAATTGCCACAACATTTAGACACCTTGAGCTCTCAATATGCGCCAGTGGAATGAAAATTAAACTTCCAACAAGCAGCACCAACGAATACAAACATAAAAGCAAGTACACTTTGTTGATTAAACAATGAGAAAGTAATCTCAGAAACCCTAAATCTAGGGTCTAAATCCCTTAGGAGCTACCCATTTCATCTCAAAAAAATCCATCCACAGCAATCAAAAGCACTATCCGAACGCTAGAAACCCAAAAATGATCCCAAATAGATTATCCGATAGAAAGCAAGCAAGCAACCGTTTGTAAAAGCGAATAGCGTATCCAGTGATTCCATTTCCGACATGCTTGTTAACAGTAAACCCTAACTAAGATAAGAAACTCTACTCGAAGGCAAAAAAAGATACCTTATTGTGCATGAGAATAGCGCATCCAGGCTCGAGCTGGTCCTTGTCGACAAATGACAAGATCCCCACATAATACTCGGGCCCAACAGAAGAAGAGACGATGGCGTGATTCTCGTCGATCAATTCCTCCAAATTGCCGACGCTCATCGGTGAACCCCGAAGATCATCGACCTTAGACCTGTCCTCCTCGTTCTTCTCCTCCTGGGGTTTTAGTCTTTCCTGATTGGTGACGAACTCTTCTTCCATCAACAGGTAATCCTTTATGCGCTCCAATTTCAAAAGCCTGAGCTTACACTTAGTCAATGGCGTCACAGTGGGGAGCCTTGCTGCGGCCTCGGGACCTTTCTGCTTCCGCTGTTTGCGGCCGACACGAGAAGGAGGAGCCGCCGGCTCGAACTTCTTGTCCTTCTTGTTGTCGGGATCGTTCTTGCGGTCGCCTGGTAGACCACCCTGCCGATTGAGGCCGCCGGATGAGCCCTGACCCATTGCTAGCGGTTCAGGAGTTTATCGAGAGAATTGAGTGTGAACAGTGGTAACGGAGCTTTTGCTTCGGATTCGAGGCCGCGATAGATTGCGCAGAGCTTTATTGGGGAACAAGCAAGCTACACACCTTTTGGTAGCGGACAAAAGCTGAAATGTGTCCATGGATCTAAACCGGGTCATACTCGGGTTTACCGAGAAAGCGAATAATAATATATTTTTTAAATTCTATTAGCTAAAAATAATAAATAATAAAATTATAAATAATTGAGTTAATTTAAATTGATATCCTATAATTTCTTTTTATTTTATTTTTGATGTTAAAATGAAAAAGACTGATTTGCTCTTTATAAAATCTAAAATACTTTAAATTCAAAATATAAATTTGTCTAAATCAACTCAATAATAAATATATTTACATATAATATATCTATATATAATTAAAATCATACTCTCACCCAAAATTTAAGGATTGAAGTTTGCAGTGAGCAGAGTTGCGGCTGTGTCCATAGGGTTTTTTCATATGCTAAATGAATAAAAAGACTTACTAATAGTTTTGTTTTAGTTTTGAATAGTTTAAATTATAATATGAAAAAAAAAATCTTATTTAACTCAAGAAATTGAATTCAAATTTGTAACTATCCAAATAGAAAGTTCATCAACATATTTATTTATATAATAATAAATTAATTATACTTTATATGTTTTATAAAACTATAACATTTAACTAATTTCATATATTATTATATTTTGAATTTATATTAAATAATATTTATAAAAAATTAAAATAAAATTAGGCAATAAAATATAAATTTAACTGTTTGTCAAGTCTATCATGTAACAGCCCAAACATTTATACTAAATAATAATATCGAAATTTATAAATTAATGAAAGCAGTTTACTAATTTTTTGTTATATTCTTTGCACAGTTTAATTAAAATATTCAATATGAATACAATAATATTTTTTAAAAAATTAAAAACGTAAAAGAGAGAAAAATGCAAATTGAAGCCCTAATGTAATTAACCTCCAATGCGTAACTGGAGAAAAGCGAGAGACAACTTTTTTATAACTTTTTATTGTTCAGAATTCAGATATTGGTCGTTCTAATATGAAATTATTGATAATTTAAGGAGATGAGCTACACTAACTCAGTAAAAATATCAACATTTTACTATCGATACGAAAAATCAAATGTTTGTAAAAAATCGTAAAACAACCAATGAAATTATTTTTTCTTTTTAAGTAAATTCATTTAATTTGAAAACGTTAATTTCATACTCAACTTTAAATTCTCAAATAACACTTATGAAGGAAATAACTAAGATAGCAGTACATCTTAATTATAAGAGTCCAACAATAATCAAGTTTTACTATTTTACTAACTTACCGGTTCCGCTTGAGCCCTATAGGGGTTCCCATTATATGTGGATTAAGTATTCGTTTTACTAATCAACTAGTCATCCTCATACCTCGTCGGGTAATGGGTGATAAACATATAACTACTTCAATATTTCGTCCGGTATAAGTGTAATCAAAATAATTTTCAACCTCCTTTCGATATGAGACTTCTTAACCCATTCAATTTAGAGTAACGTCCACAGTAGGGTTACCTTATGTACCAGATCCGTACACCATTTTCTATGACATTCGGTAAACCCTTTGGTTGAATAATATTACTTTACACATACATCTCCACATCACCATTTAGCCACCAAATACATGCAATATTCCCATTTTATGATTACAAAATATAAGATGATAATTTAATAGATAATATAAATTAATACTTAATAATGCGAAAAAACGTAATTACGACCTTCATTTCAAACCAAATTAACGAATAAAGATAAGAACGATTGAATAACTAATAGACAAGAAAGTAATTAAAACTAATAAATTAAAGTAACGAAGTAACAATAAACAAGCAAAGCAATGTAGAAATAAATAGACACACATATAACTAAGACAATTATACATTAACTGGTTATTAGCTCCATTGATGAGCTGCATTAATTTAATAAAAAGGTTGCTGAAATTTATAATTTTTTATTTTATTATTTATTAGACTTTAATTTAACTATAACGAAAGAAAAGTTGAATGATTTTTACTTCGACTTGGTGTTCAGAACACCATATTTTTCACTGCACTTTTCGACGGTTCCTGATTATCATATTTTTTGGGTTTTTTTGCAAAAATAAAAAACACACGTCAAATATCATGAAAATACATGAAAAAAATGCCAAAAGGATTAAAATTTTCTTAAGGGCTGGTTTAGGGTTCCGGTACGGCACCGTCGTGTTCTAGTGCTAGCTCTACCGCCTATGGTAGTTCCTCCTCTCGATCAGGCCAGTTTCGATCGGTTATGTGCGAAATCCTGCGAAATTCAGGGTTATATAGCCTCTGTTGGCGGAAAAAAGAAAAAAACTGAAACTTACCGGCGATTTAGAATTTTCGATGTGGCGGCTCCACCGTTCATCCATCGCGGTCGCAAATTTCCTTCAGTTACCCTGCACTGAAAACACGATAGGAAAACAATGGTCAAAAAATAGAAGGGAATAGAAAGAGAATTCGGGCTCACATGAGGAGTTTTTGGTTTCGGGTACGGCAGCTTGACCAAGCTCCACCCTCTATTTATGACTTCTCATTTGGCCTTTTGGTGCCGATAAGGGTTTGAGGTGGTTTAAAATCGAAAAACTAAGCAAACAGAAAGAAAAAACTCACATTCCGACTTCAACAACGAGTTCTGGTGGTACAATAATGGTGGTCAGCTTCTCTTCTAGCCGCCCTTATTCTCATAACCAACGAACCGATTACGACTAGGGTTAAGGTTTTAGTGGAATAGGAGCTTAAATAATCATCTTCCTTCTATCCGAACCGTCTGTTTGGACCCTTGTGGCCCAATCTCCACGGTCAAATCTGACTTATTTGGAAAGTGAATCAGAGCTGTTTGATCCAATACACGTAAATTGTTCGATCACACCTGAAGGAAAAACGAATCTGGGCCGTTCGTGTGTGCATGAGTGAATCCGGACTATTGGATTGGTTGGCACGCGGATCACCGATGTGGCTTCCCATGTGGAATGCATATATGTGTGTTTGCCACGCGGCACACAGCGACTGACTGTGCTGCTGTTGTGACCGTCTTACGTGATAATTTTTTTTTTTGTTTTTGTACTTCTGCCATAATTTTTCAATTTTATTTTTAAATATGTTCTTCCTCACGCGCAAAATATATATTTTTTTTAAAATTTTAAGAAAACTTAAATTTAAAAATTTTAAATTATTATTAATATAAATTTAATCATTCCAAACTTAAATTATGGCTCGAAGCGTTACATATCAACTCTAATATCACATGATTTAAATTTATCTAAATTTAGGTTAAACCTTGTTTAAGCTTAATGTTGTATTAAAATTGTTTAATAAATTTTAAATTTTATGTATTTTATGTAAGTCGAATTTAAGTTTAAAAAATATTTTAACCAATATTCAAGTGAAGTCTATCTTGACATGGCTAAAAGAAAATTAGTCAAACATTTTAGTATTTGACCGAGTTGGATTTGTTGCCATTCTTGGTTGAGAGAAGACAAAAAAAGCATTAGGGAATGGTGAAAGGGAAAGAGTGTCGGGCAGGTGAAGACTAAAGGTTATATATATATATATATGTATATTTTTTATTGTTAAAATTTTAGTTTTTTTTAAACTTGATTATAATATATATATTATTTATCAGGCAGATTTTTTCTTTTAATTTATAAAATATTAAATCAGATTTTTATCTCATAATTAATATAATTAAAAAAATTTGTCAATCATGAGATATTTATTTTAACTAAATATATAATGATATGTTGATATTAAACACAATTTGATCAGTGCAGGCATATCATTACATGTTAAGATTAAATACAACTTTGATCATTGTATTTATACTGATATTATTGGATCATGAAATCAAATATTATAAGCTGTTTACTTCAAATACAATAATAAAATAGTAAATTTTATATTATTAGTTAAATTTAAGCTCAAAATTTTAAAATAAAGTACAAAAATATTAACTATTAAACTACATTATTAATGGTATTTCTTATATAGTTATAAGAAACTCATATTACTTACCAATTAACATAATTATCTAACTAAACTAATCAATTAATATGGTCAAATAGACCAAATCTCATTTGACTTTTTTTTTAAAAGAGAAAAGAAATTGAAGAAGCACGGCTAGAAGATTAATAATATTAAGTTATCAATAAATTAGAGCCTTTTTTTCATTTAAAAAAAATTAATCAAAGCCTTTATACTATATTGGGCTTGACTCCAGGCCCACCCATTATAAGACCAATCTTGCGTAGAAGCAAAATTTTCTGTATTTCCAATTTTATTTTACTAATTTTCCTTTTCGGATAAAAACAAAAAATTCTATACATCCTGGAAAAGATTTACAATATATATATATATATATATATATATATATTTAAGCTGATAAACCGATCCAGAAATTAGTGGCCACCAGCCTATCATCTCACAAACCCAACCTCTCGATAAACCCAAAACCCCATTGTTACCATGCGTCTGACCACAAGATCTCGAAGCCCAACAAGCCATTACAATACTCATGGCCGCCGAGGCAACATTGGTCGTGTTCGGTAGCTCTACAGGTTTTCCTCTCCTCTGGCGCCACTCAGCACAGCCGATTTCTTCAAAGCTCGCATTTTATACCAGCAAGCCGACTGGAAGAAGAAACGCACAGCCTACTTCCATGGCTGCTTCTACTGCTAACAAGGTGATACCAGCTGTCATTATCGGCGGTGGACGGGTGGGAAGGGCCCTGCAGGGTTTGGGCGACGGTCAAGATTTGCTGGTTAAGAGGGGTGAGTCTGTGCCTCTTGATTTTGAGGGTCCCATTTTGGTTTGCACAAGGAACGATGATCTCGACGCTGTTCTGGAGGTTACTCCTCGGTCTAGATGGAACGGTAACCCCTCCGTCTCCAATTTTGGTTTCAAGAAATTTCGAATCAGTATTCATGGTTTTCGTTAGTTGCGATGGCAAAAAAAAGTTATGCCAAGCTTGCTCAACTGCTATAACAAATTTATTGTGATTCGTATTGTCACGGCGAGTTGTGAACTTGCAGGTTTTTGTTAAGTTCTCTTCTTGAATTATCAGAGCCGGAATTCTGCATTCCCTTAATGCTGTAATTTATGGATGGTTTATGGGTATGTTGTTTTTTTTTTCTTTACATGTGATCCAATCCATCAGATTTGGTTTTCTTCCAAAATGGGATGCTGGAGCCGTGGCTAGAGAGTAAAGGTCTGAGTGATGCAGACCAAGTGCTTGCTTATTTTGCTGTATCAAAGCTCGGGGAACCTCCTGTGGATGGGAAGACTGATACCAATCCTGAAGGTTTGACTGCAGCATATGGAAAGTGGGCTTCTGCTGTAGCTGCAAGATTACATTCTGGAAACCTTTCTTGCAAGGTAAAGCATGCATTATCTGTTATTTTGAATGGGAATGAGACTGGTTTTAAGTTTCAACCGGGTTTCCTATTTCTTTTGTGTTTTTACAGAAATTATGATATTGACATGGGGTCATGTTGTCCAGGTTCTTGAGAAGGAAGCATTTCAGAAACAAATGTTGGAGAAACTTATTTGGATTGCGGCATTCATGCTTGTCGGAGCTCGTCATCCTGGTGCAACTGTGGGTGTTGTGGAGAAGGAATTCCGATCTGAGGTGAGGCTGGTTTTGCAATCGATTGATTTAAATGGCATGCAAAGAGGGATTTTCATTGAAATTTTACCACAATTAGGTTAATGAGTATGTTTCCTTTTTTGGTTTAATTAGAGATAAACCTTAGTTTTAACTGTTATTTATGCTTTTAGGTCTCTACCCTCATTGAAGAACTTGCATCTGCAGCAGCAGCAGAAAAAGGTTTTTCATTTGAAGAAGGCATAGTTGAAAGATTATGTGCCTATTCCCGAGCTGTTGCCCACTTCCCAACAGCGGTCAAAGAGGTACAGGGTTCCGTTTCCGTTCATGGTTGACGTTTACATTTAAAAATTTTAAGATCTTACTGACTGAAAGAGTTTGTTCCACATGCATCTACAGTTCAAATGGAGGAATGGCTGGTTTTATTCACTCTCAGAGAAGGCCATTGCAGAAGGAAAACCTGATCCTTGTTCCTTGCACACTGCATGGCTCAAAGAGCTAAAAGTGATATAAATGATCAACTCACCGTATCTGCAATTTAGAATTGCTTTTGAGATAAACAGGTTACGGATGAAATCTAGTTTCAGTTTTCAGAGTATCTGATGTGTAGAAGAGTTGTATATCCTGTTAAAGATTTTGATATTAATATGGTCTCTATGATTGGCCATTTATAGGGAAGAATATTCGAGATTGTTTTTTCTGTCTCCCTCTCTCTTTCCCTATCGCATCAAGACAAGTAACCAAATTCTATAAACTATATGTAATTAAGCAATGCATACATGAGTTGATCCAAGCGTGTTGCTCAACACTGTTGTAATGCATACTTGTGTTTGTTTCGTTCACCGTAACATTTCTTATTATGGTTTTTTTTTTGCCAAATATGTTTTGTTGCAGGAGAAACAGACGAAGCACCGTGGGATCAAATTCTTGGAATTGACGGTTTCCAAAGGGATAGACAGTATCTATTTGGTAATTTGTCTTTATATGCTACCGATGCTAATCAATATATCTGATGCGATTAAGATATTTTCGGGTTTAGTATCACAGTGAATGGATGGGCCTTAAGCCCCTTTAAGATATCATACCTTAACTTCAATATCAAACAAGCCATCTGGGTAGTATCTGTTAGTGCAATCGTCTAAACTTAAGCTTGGACAGAACTCGAAGATTAAGTTGTAGAAGACTTCGTCTTCGTTTGAAGGTCTTGGTCACTTCATCACCAAAGTATTTAATTGTAAATTATGGTGAAGCAACAAAAGCTGTTTTTGCTGTGGAGATAGTTATAAAAGTAACGAAAATAAATGTGTATTTCTCTCCTTCACAAGAAAGACTTTAAGGAGAAAAAGTATACAACTTTATGTTTGAATTCTGTCCAGGCTTAAATTTGTATAATCCCGTCTGGAGACTATCCACATGACTCTCCTGGTATTGAAATTAAGGTTTCCACCAAGAATATGTCAAGAGGAGCTTAAGGCCATCCGTGAAAGATGTATTATTCACTGTCCTGTTAGACCCCGAAAATGTGTTGCTGATTTCAGATATATTGATCCGCAGTTTTTGGAATCAACTTAAGAGTTTTAATGTTTCTGTTTACATTAAGGTTGTATCAAATTATTGGTTTGTTGATAGGAATAATTGCTTGGCCAAATTACAAAGAATAACATTTGATTTAGCATTGTTAAGAAAAAAAGCTTCAAATAACTTGATAATTTTAGGGTTCTTAATCATATTAATCAAAAGTGAATTCGAGAGCATAACAAACTTAATAAGTTTTGAAACTTATAACGATTTTGTTCAACAAAAAATTACCGAAAAATCATATCTTGAAGCTTATTTTTCTCATTTTTTAAGAAAAAACTGGCCTTTCTTTTGTTCAACTTTGAGCTAGCAATTCGGTAACGATCGCATAAAAATTCTTTGTGGAGTAGCACATGAAATATTCGACAAAAGGACGCAAAGGACTAGGACCTTTCTATAAATGCACACCGCTATTCCTTAATAACGAGCAAAACGACACCGGATAGCCAAAACTACACCACCAGACAAAACAGAAATTTTCACCAGTTCAACTCTTTAACGGAATTTTTTTGGCGGTTCTCCCACTTGTCTCGTTATGACTGGAGCCACCTTTCCTTGCCTCGCGTGAAACATCACGTGAAAGTGAGCTGACACAGCTATCACGCTTCCGCGGTGCGCGTGACGTTTACTATCCAGGCATTATATAATACCTGGATAACCAATTAAGTTAGGATCCTAAAAGATAATCGTAACGTAGTCAAATATATAAATAGACGTTATTAAATTTAAATTTTAATTACATAAAAATATTAAATGTAACGTAGTCAATATATATATACATTTATAAAATATATACATATTTAAAATTTTAAATAAAAAATAAAATATTACTTAATATTAATTACGAATATATATTATAAAAAGATAAAATTTCAAGTACCACTCATTCAAATTTTGAAATATAAAAATAAGAGTTAATGTAATAGTTATATTTATCTATATTTTATGTAGAGATAAAATTTTAAAATTATTTATTTAATTTTAAAATATAAAATAGAATTTGAATTCTAATTAACTACAAATCATAACCTTCAATAATTTTTAAATATAAAATAAATTTAATTATATGTTAAAATTTTTAAATATAAAAATAGAATTAAAATTTTAATTAACTACAATTTTTAATTATGTAATTAATTATTAAAATTATAATCCATATAGATATCTACTATTAATCTAAAGTTTATATTTAATTTACTAAATATTTTGTGATTTTTTTTTACTAACAATTGTTAAATTTAGAATTAATTTAATATATGTTAAATATATAAGTATAATTAAATAAATAAAATATAAAAATGAAATAAGGGTATTATTATGTATGAATTGCATGAATCACAACAATTAGTTGATAGAAATACAGAAAATTTTGGTTATTGCTGGATTTTATTAGATAATTATGTGATGATAAATAGAAATTTTGTGATGATTTTTCCTATTTCTCGGAGCATGAAAAATATAAATATTAAAAGTTAAAAAGAAACGGAAAACGCAGAAAATCAACGCGCGAGGCAGGAGCGTACAATTTCAGAAGAGAAAGCATATACCCGAGGAAGGAGATGATAAATAGAAAGATGCCGAGCGAACCCAGAAACCAGGTAGTGCCACGTGGAATACTACCTGGCGTACAGAGCCATCGCATCTTTCCCTTTGCAAACTCACCCTTCTCTCTCTCTTTCGCCTAGCTCGCTCTCTCTCTCTCTCTCTCTACCCGTCTATGGCGTTCCTTCTCCATCCTTATTCATTGTTGTCATCTTCGTCGTCTTCGTCTTCGTCTATCATCATCACCATCACCATCACCATCTCCATAATCACAGGACATTTCTGTAACTTGCATATGTTTTTTTTGAATTGCTAACAGAACACTTTCTCTGTCTCTATTATAGATCGACCTTCCGTTTCCTATTTTGGATAGAAAAAGCCTGCAGAGGAGACAGAAAAATAGGGAGACATTGAATTTGGGGGAAGGATTTTTTTAAGCCGTTTTTGGAACTTTCTGCTGCGATTTCAAGTACTTTCTTTTTCTTTTTCTTCGTTTTAGGGAATTAGCTGATTTGGTTATTTCCTGTATCGATCTTCGCACGAGAAATTTTTGGTTTTGAGCCAATTAATTATGCCCAGTTTCCATTTTGGAGCCTGATAAAGGGCTTGGTATTGTTATTTTTATTTAATCTCTGATTTATTCTAGGTTTTTTTTTTGGCTGACAGTTATCCTGGTGAGACTTTGATGAATTCTGGTGCTATGCATAGTTTCCAGGTGGAGAATAGACTCAATTGATTTGTTAGAATCACTGATTTTAGTATGATTATCGTCTTTGGGACTAAATCCTGATTTCAGAGAACTTTTAGATGCTGCGTGGTGCGAGTGGAAATTCCCATGTGTAATAAGGAAATTGATAATCAGCAGCACCATAATCAGAGTGTCTCTTTGATGGATTCTCCTTCCGCAAACTCAACCTCTGCAACTGGTTCAAATGAGGAAACTCCACGGGTTAAGTTCCTGTGT